TATGAATGTATTTTTTACCAGCTTGATGCTTAAGCTTACTTCTCCATTAATAGTAACTCTGCCTTTATAATGAGAACAAATGCCACTAATACACATTTATTTCACCCATGAGCAAAAATTCAGGGACTAACTACATTCACACATTAAATGATAAGTATCCTATAATTTGAAAAATCAATCAACAGCTAGCTGAGTCCTTCCACACAGGAGGAAGTAAAGATCTGTTTGCTGAGGACGGACTAGCAGCATCGTACACAGCACACAGGCAGGCAGACAGCGGGGAAGCGGGGGCTGTGAGCAAGACTTAGGACAGCGTGGAGAAGGCAGAACAAAGGAGCCTGGACAGACAGACAGGAAAGGGAAAGGCATCTGCACATCACAGACACTTACGAAGCTTCATATCAACTAAGGCAGCGGTCCCCAACCTTCCTGGCACCAGAGACCGCTTTCATGGAAGATAATTTTTCTATAGACCAGGGATTGGGGGGTGACGATGGTTTGGGGATGATTCAAGTGCATTACATTTACTGTGCACTTTATTTCTATTATTGCTACATCCACTCCACCTCAGATCATCAGGCATGAGATCTCAGAGGTCGGGGACCCCTGAGCTAAGGTACTTTGGAGGTAAGTAACAGAGACAGATTCTAACCTGAGCTACAAAGGAATTACTGTCAACAGTCAGGAAGTTGGGAGAACTTGGCCCAGAGAAGGAAATGAAGCCAGAATAGCTCTGGCCAGTTCACACAGGAACAGAGAGTCGTCAGGACTTGGCTGTTGAATAAATGGCCTCTTAAGCATTCTCGCCATTCTTGGTCAATTTGGGAGCTAAAGCCCCAACTGCCATGGCTCAGCTCACAGGCCTGCCCCCGGGCCTAAGGAGGGCAGGGTTTACCCCGCAACTGGGATGGCAAGACATGGTGGGGCCACCATTCCTCCGAAGAACATCAGCATAGAAGGGAGAAAGCAAGCACAAGGGAACCTCCTGTCCACTCCAGGCACTGAAGCAGATTCTTTACATTTAATCCTCAAAGCAACCCTACCAGTAGGTATTACCTGCCCAAGTTTACTGACAGCTACACTGAGGTTCAGAGAGGTCAGGTGACCTGCTCAGGGGTACACGGTGGTGAGGGGGCCAAGCTGAACTCAGTCTGATGCAGGATACCTGTGCTCTCCAAGCCACCAGGCTACAGGAGGCGATGTGGGTCCAAAATCTGAATGCCACCAATATTCTCCATTTTTCCTGATGGCAACTGCTAGGAAAAAAGTGGGAAATGAGTCCAAATCAAGAGAACTGTATTTGAAAGTGTTAAAGAAGAGTCTTAGAGCAGATCTGTCTTGGACATGTCCAGTATCTTTTATCCTCAATGCCCTTGGTGAGAACAAATCCATTCCCTCTGATGCCGAGATCTTCAGGAGGGATGGGAAGCGGACAAAAGAAATTTCTGAGCATCGTCACTGGCAGTCACAAAGAAAAGGGGAAGAACATTTGAGAAGCTCCAATTAGACATCCAAACTGCAAAACTGCTGAAGACAAAGTTCAAGGAGCCCATGAGGCAGGTGCCACTCTATGCCTGCACCTCTGGCCCTTCAAACCTGATTCTTAATGATCATAATGGACGTGTCTTCCTCACCCCCCCACCCAGAACAGGAGCTTCCCCAGAGGAAGGTACTGTGTCTTGTTCATCTGTGTAACCTACATCGATGAGCCTTGGCTATTCAGATGCTATCCACGGATGAAACATCAATGACTTTGCAATCAAAAATGGAGAAAAACTCAGTCTAGGGAAGAAGAAGCCATTTGAGGAACATCTCTGCTTCAGACTCACATCTCTGTTGGCTCACTTTCTAGAGTCATCAATTCTACTGCTCCCGGGGGAAGGGAAGCCGCTGAAGGTGGAGAACAGGAAGCTGAAGGCTGGACACTCAGTAAATGTGTGCTGGATGAGTGGGTACCGCCCATCTGTCACTCAAAGTCCCCTCCAGACTCTCCAAGCTAAAACTCCCCCTAAAACTGACAGCCAGAAAAATGTGCGCCTCCTCCAAAGAGCCCTGATTCCTCTTACTAGATACGGAATCCCCTCCACCAGGATGCTCTGAGCGGAAGGCGTGCCCTGTATAATTCCCCCTCTCACCCTGAGCGGCGAGCGCAGTCCATCCGTCACTCTTTGAACGTGACCCTGAGTAGCTAAACCCACTTGATTGGCTGTCGTCCCATTCAATACTTATAAAGCTCCTACTGTGCGCTGGAGCCGAACTGGGCAATGAACATACCCTGAAAAAGTCAACAGCCACAGGTGGCCAGAGGAGCTCCAGCCAGGCTCCCAGCCTGGCATTCTCCCACAAGTCGCTTCAGAAGCAGGTTGCTACCAGAGCAGATAGAACGAGTTTCTTCCTCATGTGGTAAGAGAGGGTGTGAGCGAGGCCTCCTCCAGCAGGTTCAAAATCGCTGATGGGCCACACATCTGTCAGCTACCGCTGGGGACCCCCCTCATCTCCCTCCATGCCTGGCTCTCTGGGACCACTGCCTAGCCTTTCTCTTCAAAAACTCTTCCTCAGGGAGCCCGGCCTTCCAGTGCACAGCAAGAAGATGGGTCTGGGCCCTGGGGCTAGACGGCCTGAGGGACTAGAACTCAGCCCTGCTTCTTATCAGCGGAGGAACTCCAGATAAGCTACCTCACGTCTCAAGATCTCATGAGTGGACAGAAGCTTCCTCAAGGAACTCGGCTGAGGACCGCGAGGGTTCACAGACGTGATGTCACAGCACAGCCGGGAGAAATCAAAGTGCATGCTGCCAGCGGGCTGCCAGGATTACCGTGGCTCTTACATGACGTTTGATATTAGTATTCTTTCCTGCCAGATTAACCTACACCTGCCAGGACTCTCTTCCATCCTGTTTTCCAAAGCTGACCATCACGGGGGTCAGGAACCATCCTTGCACACTCCTCCAGCCCGGGGCCCCTGAGTCTCACCAGCCACTCTGTATCGTGTTGCTCCGGGTTCTGCGCTTTTGGTCCAACTGTGTGCAGGTGGGCAGAATGGTTTTCATGCTTTGAAAGACACTTAGAGAAAGAAGGTTCGGGAACTCCCATTCCATTGGGATGAATCAGAGGAGAGTCATTCAATTGTTGGGGTGTTTTAAACAGTCACATTACTTCAAACGAAATGTTTTTACTTCTTTCGCCCTTTGGAAATGCAAAGAGCAGCACGTGGACTCTTCCCCCGCATCCTTTCATTACTCCACTCCAACGTGCGTTTACAACTCCTTCTAGGTAAAAACCGACCCATTAAGAAAATGGCAGACAAGCATCACGAAGAGCGGGCCAACAGAGAGGGCTTGGTAAAAGTCGTGATAAAACACAGCTCGAAGGCTCTTCACAAATGCAAGATGGCTGACAGGGCCTCACTTGGCAAACAAAACAATGAAAAATCAGTGCAGGGTAGCGAATGCCACGGGAGGACCATCTCCACTCCAACTCCGCCTCTCGCTGGGCTCACCGACTCCTCTTCTGCCAAGGGTAACAAAGGCATGGAGAAGCTTTGAGGCTGGCACGATAAACCTCCTACCCCGACTGCCACTCCCTCTGATGTAGGAGTTCAACACCGAGCTCCCTCGCAGGCAACAAGAGCAACGATGTCAGGGGCTGGGACACCAACTTCACATCGGATACCTAGATCTTTCCCACCCGTCAGTGCTGGAACACAGTGAGGTGGTGAGACCCTCTCACAGTCACAGCGGGTGGGGACAGGGCACGCAATGAACACCTAATCAACCAGCCAACCAACTGAGCAGTCAGCCCATGAATGGACCGCGGTGCTTCCTCAGTCAGTCAGGCAGTTACTTCCTCCTGACCCCCTTTTTCAAGCTCAAGCTTCTGATGAGCATGTAAGCCCCCAAGATCGCCACCCCAGGCCCAGAGTCCAAAGGAATCCAGGGACAAGAGTGCTGGCCTCTATGCTTGGCAGGTCTGACGACATCCTCACAAGTGGACAACTTGTCCTGGCTTCCCTGAAGGGACAGAAGCTCCCGACCCCTTTCCCTCTGGCCAGAACCCTTCACCCTTCATAGCTCAGTGGCTCTTCATTCACTCAGCAACCAGAGACGTCCCTGTCCCAGAAGAATGGCAAATACTTTCTTTCAAGGACTGTTGAGCTAATTTGGCAACAAACGGTCAGTGAGAATACAGAGATGGAAGAGAGCCTCTGCCACAGAGACTCAGAGTCCGCCGGTTCCTGAGGGTAAGGGTCTTGCTCCTCTCTCCACCTGGGCTTTCCTCCACCAGCCAACTCTAGTCTCATGACCCCACAGAATGGGGGTCCACGGATGGGCGTGGTGGTGGCAGAGACCCTCCAGGTGTTAGGGGAACCACTGACCGAAACCACCCACCCTGGCCAGGCCCCAAAGTAACTCACCTGCATGAGTTATCTTAAGCAGGAGGTCCTGGGAAGGAACAAGGAACGAACAAGCTACCACCAACCGGAAGAATTCGGGAAAGGTCAAAAGGAAAGAGGAGACACCAGCCCACAAGTCCCACCAACCTTCCAGAATGTGTCCCACTGGAATCCTTCTTGGCTAAGTAATACACACACCACTAGGAAGGTCCCAGAGTCAGAGAGACTGGCCAGAGACAGCCCAGAAACTAACTGTATCATGTGATTCTAGCAGTCCACTGCATCCATATTATCCCATTTCTCAGCACAAAGTTGTATATGATATTCTCTGTTTTAAATATTCTCCAAATCCAACTGTTTTATTATTCTTCACATGATATATGTTTTCTCTCTTACCACAGGTTCCTCATCAATGATATCTTTCAAAGAACCACGTCTTAGGTTTCTGTATCAATTACAACCATTTTATGTTGTTTGTTGGTGGGGGAGGTGGTGGGGAAGTGTCCACTGGTTGTTTTTCTAACATCTGTCTAACATGCTGGGCCCCTGTCTAAAAAGTCCTCTAAGCAACCAACATCGGGGATACACATCGACACCATCAGCCTTACCTCGATGAGCTTTCTTTCATAGGAGCTTGCAAGTTCCTCGGCGACTTCTCCGGGTTTCTGCTCAGGGACTGTAACTTCTCCATCAACATTCCAAAGATTTGGGACAACTTTTAGGAAAAGAAAGAATTCCATAAGTAACTTAATCAACCATAAGTCCCTCAATTAAAAAAATTTTTTTTTCTTCTTTTCCAAATGGTTTCTCTGGAAAGAAAGCTCTTGCTAAAGAAGAAGAAAAAAAATCACAGTTACTAACTACTTCCACATTGCATCATTTTCACACAAGTACAATAAAGTGAATGATAAGCTGTATTTAAAAATGGAATAACTGTCCTCGAGATAGACGCACAGAAGTCTAGGGAACGATCTTGTCACTACTTTCCATTTCAGGGAAAACAGATGATGCTTTGGCAAGATACAAGAGCCTACATGTGCATCTTCTATGTTGGTTAATTTTCTTTTTCTTCAACAAAAAAGTTTTTCAGGGAGGTAGTACCTGCCTACAGCATGAAGTGAAATGGCAGTAGGGCTGCTCAGGTAGCATTTAGAATCAAAGAAGCTTCTGGAAAAACTCCAAAGCCAGTGCACAATGACAATGCAAAGACATCTCCACGAGATACTGGCTCTCAGATCAGCACAAGAATTAGCACAGTACTGTAAGAAACTTTCACACTGTTCTCCATAATGACTTCAGCAATTTACACTCCCACCAGTAGTGTAGGAGGGCTCCCATTTTCCAACAACATCTTCAGCATTTGCTATTGGTAGACTTACTGATGGCCATTTTGACTGTTCTGATTTGCATTTCTATAATAATTAGTGATATTGAGCTTCTTTTCATGTGCCTGTTGACCATCTGTATGTCTTCCTTGGAGAACTATCTGTTTAGGTCTTCAGCTCATTTTTGATTGGGTTGTTTTTTCAATATTAAGCTGTATGAGCTAAAGATGGAGTTACCATAGGATCCTGCAATTCTAGATTCTGGGCATCTACCCAGAGGAAACTTTTAATTTGAAAGGATACATGCATCCAAATTGACAGCAGCTTGATTTACAACAGCCAGGACATGGAAGCAACCTAAATGTCCACTGGCAGATGAATGGTAAAGAAGACGGGGTACATATACAAATGAAATACTATTCAGCCATAAAAAGGAATGAAATAATGCCATTTGCAGCAAGACGTTTGGACCTAGAGACTGTCATACTAAGTACAGTAAGTCACACAGAGAAAGACAAATGTCATAGGGTATCATTTATATGTGGAATCTAAAAAACTGAGGCACATGAACTTCTTAGCAAAACAAAAATAGATTGACAAAGAAAAAAAACTTATGATTACCAAAGGTGGTAGTTCAGTGGTGGGTATATCAGGAGTTTGGGATTAACATATATATATGACTGTATATAAAACAGGTAAACAACAAGGGCCTACTGTATAATACAAGGAGCTACATTCACTATCTTAAAATTACCTGTAATGGAAAAAAATCTGAAAAGAAAGATAAATATGTACAACTGAATTATTCTGCTATATCCTTGAAGCTAACACAACACTGTAAATCAACTACACTTTAATAAAAAAAAAATCTGCACAGTTGATGCCCACAGAAACTGCTTCTACAATAGAAACTGATAAAATATGACAGAAGTAGATAAAACCTGGAAAAGAGCCAGATAATTCCAAGTTAAATAGGAGAACAAGAGTAGGAAAAACGCCCACACAAGCAGTTAAGAAGATCCAGTGGTGTGATTTAAGACTGCAGACTCGCGCCAGGTCTGAAAACAAGCATCAGGGATGCAGAGGCCTGTGTGTCCTGAGATGAGACTCCTGGATGCTCCAATCAAGTGTGATGAGATGGAAATGAAGCAAAACAGGAAGCTACGCCTAGTCCTCCGACCACTGGGACGTGGGAGGCACGGATGCGGGTCAGGCACTCAGGCAGAAGTCAACACTGGGAAAGACTAAGCAAAGTGGGAGTGGCTTCTGGGCCTGAACTGATCGGTGGCTCCGCCTTCAGCCCCTCATGGAGCCTCCATCAGGCTACAGCTGGTCCGGGCATCTGATTGACCACACAGAACATGCTGGAATAAAACCGTAAGGGATTTCCCATCAGGAAGCTTCCATAAGCCTCTTATTCTGTTCCATCAGAGGGCAGACAGAATGAAAACCACAATCACTGAAAACTAATCAAACTGATCACATGGATCACAGCCTCATCTAACTCAATGAATCTATGAGCCATGCTGTGTAGGGCCGCCCAAGATGGGCGGGTCATGGTGGAGAGTTCTGACAAAACATGGTCTACTGGAGAAGGGGATGGCAAACCACTTCAGTATTATTGCCTTGAGAACCCCATGAACAGTATGAAAAGGCAAAAAGATACGACACTGAAAGATGAACTCCCCGGGTCGACAGGTGCCAGATATGCTACTGGAGAAGAGGGAGAAATAACTCCAGAAAGAATGAAGAGACAGAGCCAAAGCAAAAACAACGCCCAGCTGTGGATGTGACTGGTGATGGAAGTAAAGTCTATTGCTACAAAGAACAATACTGCATAGGAACCTAGAATGTTAGGTCCATGAACCAAGGTAAACTGGATGTGATCAAACAGGAGATGGCAAGACTGAACATCAACATTTTAGGAACCAGTGAACTAAAATGGACCGGAATGGGTGAATTTAATTCAGAGGACCATTATATCTACCACTGTGGGCAAGAATCCCTTAGAAGAAATGGAGTAGCTCTCATAGTCAACAAAAGAGTCTGAAATGCAGTACTTGGGTACAATCTCAAAAATGACACAATGATTTCTGCTTGCTTCCAAGACAAGCCATTCAATATCACAGTAATCCAAGTCTATGCCCGAATCACTAATGCTGAAGAAGTTGAAGGTGAACGGTTCTTTGAGGACCTACTAGACCTTCTAGAACTAATACCAAAAAAAGGAAAAAAAAAGTCCTTTTCATCATAGAGGACTGGAATGCAAAAGTAGAAAGTCAAAAGATACCTGGAGTAACAGGCAAGTATGACCTTGGAGTACAAAATGAAGCAGGGCAAAAGCGAACAGAGTTTTGCCAAGAGAACACACTGATCATGGCAAACACCCTCTTTCAACAACAGAAGAGAAAACTCTACACATGGACATTACCAGGTGGTCAACACCAAAATCAGACTGGTTATATTCTTTGCAGCCAAAGATAGAGAAACTCTATACAGTCAGCAAAAACAAGACCAGGAGCTGACTGAGGCTCAGATCATGAACTCCTTATTGCCAAATTCAAACTTAAACCGAAGAAAGTAGGGAAAACCACTATACCATCCAGGTAAGACCTAAATCAAATCCCTTATGATTATACAGTGGAAGTGACAAATGGATTCAAGGAATTAGATCTGATAGAGTGCCTAAAGAACTATGGACGGAGGTTCGTGACATTGTACAGGAGGCACCATCCCCAAGAAAAAGAAATGCAAAAAGGCAAAATGGCTGTCTAAGGAGGCCTTACAAATGTCTGAGAAAAGAAGAGAAGCAAAATGCAAAGGAGAAAAGGAGAGATATACCCATCTGAATGCAGAGTTCCAAAGAATAGCAAGGAGAGATAACAAGGTCTTCCTTAGTGATCAATGAAAACAAATCAAGGAAAACAATAGAATGGGAAAGACTATAGATCTCCTCCAGAAAATCAGAGACATCAAGGGAACAATGTCATGCAGAGATGGGCACAATAAAGGACAGAAATGGTATGGACCTAACAGAAGCAGAAGATATTAAGAAGAGGTGGCAAGAATACACACAAGAACTGTACAAAAAAGATCTTCATGACCCAGATAACCACAATGGTGTGATCACTCAGCTAGACTCAGACATCCTGAAATGCAAAGTCAAGTGGGCCTTAGGAAGCATCACTACAAACAAAGCTAGTGGAGGTGATGGAATTCCAGCTGAACTATTTCAAATCCTAAAAGATGATGCTGTGAAACTGCTGCACTCAATAATGCCAGCAAATTTGGAAAACTCAGCAGTGGCCAGAGGACTGGAAAAGGTCAGTTTTCACTCCAATCCCAAAGAAAGGCAATGCTCAAACTACCACACAATTGCACTCATCTCACATGCTAGTAAAGTGATGCTTAGAATTCTCCAAGCCAGGCTTCAGCAATACGTGAACCGAGAACTTCCAGATGTTCAAGCTGGCTTTAGAAAAGGCAGAGGAACCAGAGAGCAAATTGTCAACATCCGCTGGATCATCAAAAAAGCAAGAGAGTTTCAGAAAAACATCTATTTCTGCTTTATTGACTATGCCAAAGCCTTTGACTATGCGGATCACAATAAACTGTGGAAAATTCTGAAACATTTGGGCATATCAGACCACCTGACCTGCCTCTTGAGAAACCTGTATGCAGGTCAGGAAGCAACAGTTAGAACTGGACATGGAATAACAGACTGGTTCCAAATAGGAAAAGGAGCAAGTCAAGGCTGTATATTGTCACCCTGCTTATTTAACTTATATGCAGAGTACATCATGAGAAACACTGGGCTGGAAAAAGCACAAGCTGGAAGCCAGATTGCTGGGATAAATATCAATAACCTCAGATATGCAGATACCACTACCCTTATGGCAGAAAGTGAAGAAGAACTAAAGAGCCTCTTGATGAAAGTGAAAAAGGACAGTGAAAAAGTTAGCTTAAAACTCAACATTCAGAAAACTAAGATCATGGCATCTGGTCCCATCACTTCATGGCAAATAGATGGGGAAACAGTGGAAACAGTGGCTGATTTTATTTTTCTGGCCTCCAAAATCACTGCAGATGGTGAGTGCAGCCATGAAATTAAAAAACGCTTACTCCTTGGAAGGAAAGTTATGACCAACCTAGACAGCATATTAAAAAGCAGAGACATTACTTTGTCAACAAAGGTCCGTCTAGTCAAGGCTATTGTTTTTCCAGTGGTCATGTATGGATGTGAGAGTTGGACTGTGAAGAAAGCTGAGCTCCAAAGAATTGATGCTTTTGAACTATGGTGTTGGAGAAGACTCTTGAGAGTCCCTTGGACAGTAAGGAGGTCCAACCAGTCCATCCTAAAGGAGATCAGTCCTGGGTGTTCACTGGAAGG